AACCCAGAAAGCTTGCAACTAACAGAGAGGGAGGTGATAAAATTCAATGAACAGAGGGTGTACACCCATTTGGAGGAGGGCCTTACCATTCATAATCCTCTCTTGTACATGGACACAACACGGTGGATACTGGTCTATCATAGTCTTTACCGTTATAACATTTAGCATGGGCAATACGTCTTTCATACACAGTCTTAGATCCAAGAAGACAGGCATCTGCCAACTCCTCACATGGGCTCCATAATTTGTAATCATCATCAGTACATGAATACTCTGAGAAATGAAAAAAACAAACAAACTTTCCTTGAAATAAAACAGATAATAATCAGTGCCAGGACAACTGTCGTGAATATACAAAATGTAACGCTACAAATAACATGCACCTTTGCCCAGAAATTGACAGTAGTCTGTGATGAAGGAGATTTAAATCATCCAAAATTCGGAATCCATATTAAACTGACGTCAATATATTCAAAGAATTGATTCAAGAATTTTACTTTCAATTAAAGAACAGGAAAAGGGATATTTTGTTAGCCATGTATGTTTACCAAACCAATCACGCATTTCATTTTACTGTATTATCTGTATTAGAAGCCACTGCTTCTATTAAAATGGTACAATGCAACAGAGAAGATGCGGCTTCTAATAGGGTAATATGGTAAATCTTTGGTTCTTAATTGTTGCAACTTTTATTAGGGAAGCGGTTTCTAATACCGATTTTATAGTATATAACGTTGTATGCAAAACTGCTGCCATTTTGAGACTGGTGAATACCTAAGCATGTTCTCTGAATCTCATTAGTGCATTCATTTATAGACAGAAAATCTTACCAAATATACTTGAGAGGTTAACCTGTACTATCATCCATGTGTGTTGTTTACCAACACTGGAACCAAACAGTGTGAATACAGTGGTGTGTTCACCAGGTTCAGTCATCACATCGTACACCTGTATCTGTTCTTCAGAGAAAGTCAGTGTATTCCATGTCTCCCCTTCATTCCAACTATATCTGTGGTACAACAACAGAAATTTTACTCAACATGTTATATACAAATGTATAACACAAGATATGTAAAGAAATCATTGCAAATTGTAAACTCCCTCAAATTTTCACGAATTTAGCCAAATGTAGTCGCTGTTTTGGTCTACAAATAATAAAATCAACATCACTTCCAGTGTCAAAAAATACAATACTATTTTTCCATATAACAAAAACGATAAAGCAAAATTTTACACCCAAGCATTTTGAATAATTCAGAAAGTACTCCACCATTTTGTTCACCATGTGACCCCAGCCAACAATTTGAGATAAGGCATAATATCTCCACCATATGAATCAATGCTAAAATTGTACTGACAAAGTAGCCACCATTCATTCATTCACTACACAATTCTTTCGAAAAATAGGCAGGTGACTCCCAAACTATTTGAGGGAGAATGTTACTCAACATGTGCGTATATGTTAGCACATACAGCAATAGCAACACATGCGTAGTTTGTTTCAAAACCCGTTTACAATTATCCATTTTAGTATCAAGTCAAAAGTATGTGAACTTTTTTGTTTTACTGTAAATCTGCAAAATATGCATAAAATGCCATCTTAGCAGCAGTTTCCATAGACCACAATAAAAACACATGTCCCTGATAAAAACCCACTAAAAGTATTGTAATTTTTTAATATTTCAAGACATCAAAAAGTATAACACTTTTTTTCACCATAAGTCACTGAGCAAAATTTTGAGATATAACGGTTCCATAGTAAACGATGGTAACATTCCCTAAAACAGACAAACCATGCTATTTTCACTCCATTTTGTACATTGATTTTCTCCGAACCGAGCACGATGACCACATATTTTTATTCCATTTTCTGTATTCTTGTGACATGAACTATAAAATTTGTAAAAAAGACAATATTTTTACTTTTGTGTCGTGTTCAACCAAAAGTCAATACCGGTACTGTAAAATGACTAAATTTCAGCATTTCAGGCATATTCAGCAGGTTTTATTATTCGTGGTTTTATCATTTAGGTAATTGGTTCTATTGCTCAATTTTACATATTCACTGGGTGTTAATTTAGCGCATTTTCCAGTCAGCGAAATAAGCAAAATTAAAACCCAGTGAATAATTAACCCTTTTACAGTATCCTTATATTGAACAAGAGTACAATTTATTGCAAAATGGATCAATTTTGAGTATGTTTATTTATAAGTAGACTTCTACATATCATAGGGTGACATAAATACCTGATTTCATCTGTTGGTCCGTACTGTTTTACAGCTACAATTAAACCACCGTGGTCACCAAAGGCATAATAATAATTGTCCTTCAGCACCTGTAGTACAAGTATTGAGGAATTATGTTTTATGTTGAATTACTGGGTAGTTATAACTACAAAATAAAATTGCCATTCAGACAATTGAGGTAGTAACCACTTGCCTTAACAGACTATACTAAATATATAGACAAAACACAAATTAACATCAAGCTCTCAGGAAAGTAATAATTGATTCCCTATTATCTCCCCAACCAGAGACAGTACAAAAGCTTTGATACAAGCAATTCCACAATCTAGACTGGACTAAACAGCTAGTGACTGGCCAGATAAATCGCACAACTATTTTCTACACACACCCTTCTCAAAGAGGAATACGGCTAAATGCAGATAGGTAGGGCACTATTTTTTCAGATGTTGGTGATTATGACACTCATACAAACAATCATCAGCTGTTGCCTTTAGCTGTATATATTTTTTATGGGCACACAATCTCCCATGTGTAAAGTTTCCAAGAATACTTTATCACTGATATAAGGAATAGAACAAAGACTGACAGCGTCTCTACTACAGGATGCCAATGTGTCAAAGTATTTAAAATGTTCTTTATTATGTTATCTTTATCTGTTGTTTTAACAACATGTGCATACATTATATGCATCTCCCACTGATTACCACAAGGTATTGATGGTGTCTAATAGCCAAATCAAACATAATTTAAAAAAGGTTACTTGTAAATATAATTTCAGGATTAGTTTGACAGACTTCCCAAGCAAAGCCTGTATAATTCTTACAGGGGTCCATGAGAGGTTTTCAGCTCATGTTAAGTTGTAACTCTAACTATGGTATTGTCCAACATATGATAATTATAACCATCCCCCCACTTAATTGCTAACAATCCTGGGAAAGTTGCGAGTAATTTAAGTAAGACCACATCTCATTGGCTAGCCGCTTTTACTAAGTAGTCTCTTAAAAGGAAGCCGCTCAATCCCATGGATTGAAACTGTGATTGACAGGCATTTAGCATACATTAGCCGCCATTTTAAAATCAGGATTTTTACTTGTTCAACCGAAAACAACAACAGTTGTACAATCAAAAGCCCAACCAGATGAGTGTAATTGCTAGCGTATATATTCATGCCCCCGTAGAAATGTATTTGGAATCACAGCTTGATCTCTAAACATCGTGAATGGCACATTTCTAGGCACTCCAGCCACGATGTGAGCGGCATGGTTCGAATTAGCATGCTAATTGTGGTGGGCATCTTGCCCCTATTTATAGTATGGGTTCTCCTTTAACCAATTACTTACTTCAAACCATTCAACACCAGCAGTGGTAGAAATAAAAACAGCAGGGTTATCTTTGATGCTGGTGCCCACAGTACCAGATGCCATGATCAAACCAGGCGCACTCTTCTTGGATAAGATCGGCACAGTTCTTGATCGTGGATATAGCAAACTAAACTTCTGAGTTAGATGGAGTGAGCATGACTACAGATATAACAAACAAGATTGTTAAGTAAAGTACCACAATAGATGTATGAACTAGAATAGGCTTGTAATGCAGGAATTTTACTCACACGCTCAATACACATACATTCTATCTACACCAAGTAGAGCAACTAATTTCATGAAACAATAAACAATGTGTATGACTATCCAATAAAAACAATCGAGTGATGTTCTAACCTGGCTGCAATAATCATTTAGACCAACTGTTTATTAATTTCATTTGAAATGTCACCATTCATCAATCGTTGGCCTGGCGAAATTTTATTCTAAAGATATTGCAGTAATAGTATTTTTGGAGAGAAAGGGTTAGGTGTTATGGTGTCAAGGAGTCATGATCGCCTCCATCTGATATGACACTATTCACCAACTGTTGGCCTGGACAAAAGTTATTTTATGTATCTCTGATGCAAGACAACCATAAGAACCACTGTACTGTGTCCATGTCCTTGTCCATGGTACAATAATCATTTATAGTGTATTGCTCTCTGTTCTGTTCTGCCTCACTGACTGGTATATACTTACATTTAGAATGCCACAATCTGGGTACGGCTTTCCCTGACTGTCTCTTTGTGGTTCATTCAGTCTACTCCATTCACCACCTTTGTCAAATGTGATTAACGACACCATATTTTTGTCCTGAAAAGTACCACCTTGGGTATCATTGAACTGAGATGCTATGTAGATACCACGTAGACCTTCAACTTTGTGGATATCAGCAAACGGTTGATCTGAATAGTAACTACAACAAAATAAAAAAAAAATATGAAGCATGCCTTCGCGTTGGTTCTGATGAAATCAATCTTTCTGATCTAGTGAGGAATCTTGGGGTTCACATTGATAATTTTGCTTTATCCCATAACAAATTTCAAATGTGTGTAAATCGCCCTCTTATGCATTAATTCGTATATTGGCTGTATTACTGTAAAATCTGTATTAAAAGCTGCAGCTTCTATTAAAATGGTACAATGCAACAGAGGAGATGCGGCTTCTATTAGAGCATCTACACATATGAGAAATGGTGAATTTTTGGTTCTCAATTGTTCAAAAAGAATGGTGCGGCTTCTATTAGGGATGCGGCTTCTAATACAGATTTTACAGTAGCAATGTTTTAAATCGTAGTACTGAGCAGTTAATTCACGTTTTTATAACATCTAGATTGGATTATTATAATAGTCTATATATCTATCTTCCTGATTATCTGATTGCCCGCCTTCAACGTATTCAAAATTTCGCAGCTTGATTGGTAACCCTTTCACGTCAACATGAGCACATAACTCCTGTTCTTAAAAATCTTTACTGGTTTTTCAGCGTATTGTTTTTAAGTTTTTAATGTTTGTATATAAGATTTTACACAATGAAGCACCATCTTATCTATCTGACCTCGCTACTATTCCAGTTTAGGAAAAACTCAATCGTCGTCCACTATAAGGTTATTTGAACCATGTTATAAACAAGAGCATTACGGAAAGAGGAAATATTCGGTTGCTGCACCCAGACTCTGGAACGCCCTTCCCAGAGCTCTTTGCCTTGCATCTACTTTGTCTGCTTACAAGTCTCAACTAAAAACTCATCTTTACCATATACCGTATTTGTCTTCAATTAGGCGCCACTTTGTTACACTTTCATTTCATGGTGGCGCTTATTTGTGGTTAAATATGAGCAACTTTGTTTCAAATGGCGCTTATTTCAAGCACTTTGAGTTCTAGTTCCGGTAACTGTGTTTCAATCCATTGCAATTGCTCCATTCCGGTGATAGATTATTGGCAGTATTTTACATTACAGTCTGTAGCCTTTATTTTAAATACTAAGTAAATGACCTGTTTTCAGACAGCCTAGAAAGTTATACAAAAATTATCATCATTTAGAAAACATTCACAGTTTGCCGTACGATCAACAAAAAAACAAATGCATTGCTTAGTGATAAATGATCACGGTAGCAAAATCCGGTCATGCTGCATTCCATGGTAACGATTATTACTCAGTATTAATTATAATAACGTTCAAAAAATAAAATGCGAGTAAAATTCAACTTAATTTCATTGTAAGCGAATGATTCCTGTCGCATGTAAACGCTCGATGGGATACGATGTCTGCCATGCTTCCTGTCTAGGACATGACCTGAAACGTGTTCTTTGACCTGATAGGTCAAGTCGTTAATTAACCAATCAAAATGCTGAATGATGCCAACGTGATCAAATTACCATAGCTCATTTAAATAATGTATGAACGCAATGCAGAAGAGATTTGACGATGTTTGCGATCTTTTGGCTTTGGTTTTGGTGGGAAAAACGGCATGATTTTTTTTTTCATATCAAGAAATTAGTTATTTTTGGAAAGTAAACTGAGCATTTAAAGAATAATTTAACACTGTTTACTGTGATAACAGCGCATTTGAAACAGAACATTTTCGCTTTGTTTTAATCTTGTTTTTATGGACTTACTGCGAAATTAAATACCACGCTGATATTTTCTACAGTAGACTAAAGAGACATGTTTCAAGAGATTATAGACCGATTTCTCAAAATTTGTTAGAAACAAAACCAATGTTTTTTTACATAAAAGCCATTCGTACAGTAACAGTGAGGGACTTCCGCGATGGCGTCTATCGCTACTAACCGGTAGTAACCGGTAGTCGATCCGCCGCTGCCCAATTCACGATCATTACGTGCCAAAATTTCAACTTTGTCTGGCGCTTAATTGAGGTGTAAAATACGATGTTTTCATGGCACTGACGCCTAATTGAAGGTGGCGCTTAACTGAAGACAAATAACTGAAGCTTACCATAGTACATCAGTACAATGATGTGTTTTTATCTGGTTTTAATCTAATCTTATTTCTCTAAATGTTTTTTTATAACTATAATTTATGTAAAGCGCATTGAGATAATATGTTTTATGTAATGCGCTATATAAGAATTACAAATAATAATAATTATAACAGAACAGTAATGTTTGTATTAAGAACACAAATTTTATTTTTGTATGTCAACATTTTTCATCGCCAAAATTCTGAAGAAACATTTCGCACACTCTTACACATTTTACTTTGTTAATTTCATACCAAACTTCTTGTTGTTTTGATCAAAAATAACATTAATTCAAAAATTGTGAAATGTGACACAGGATGACTTTAGCTTTGTTAATATTTCAGCCTCTTTGTAATAGCTGGACATTGATTAGTTTCTCCACCAAAGTACAGCAAAGACAAGCTTTGATGATACTATGTACTATGCTAGTCTCCATATTATTTGTAACTATGCTAACCCCCTAGCCTCCATATTATTTGTAACTATGCTAACACCCTAGCCTCCATATTATTTTTAACTATGCTGACCCCCTTGCCTACATATTATTTGTAACTATGCTAACCCCCTAGCCTTCATATTACTGGTAACTATGCTAACCCCTTAGCCTCCATATTATTTGTAACTATGCTAACCCCTTAGCCTCCATATTATTTGTAACTATGCTAACCTCTTAGCATCCATATTATTTGTAACTATGCTAACCCCTTAGCCTCCATATTATTTGTAACTATGCTAACCCCTTAGCATCCATATTATTTGTAACTATGCTAACCCCCTAGCCTCCATATTATTTGTAAACATGTTAACCCTCTAGCCTCCTAGTTATTGAATTTGTAATGATGCCAACTCCCCAGCCTCTCCATGTGACCTACCTCAGCCAAGTGTCTTTACCAGGTCCTTGTGGATTAAAATACACAACATTTTCTAGTGACAGTGAAAACCGCACACCAGCAGATTCTGAGATATACAGATGAGTTATACCAGTATTTAGAGATCTGTCATGGTTGACACACACAAACACTTGGTGTTCTGAGGCATCCGCAATATAGAAATCCTACAAAATAAACACAAAAGATCCATCATATACTGTAAAATACTTTATTTTTACCTGGAATTAATTTTCACTATCTTTGCTGAAGAACTGATTCATTGAAAATAAAAGCTAGCGAATATAACTTTTTTCCTACATTTTTAATTCAACTCGTCAAAAATCATTAAAAATAAATTCCATACAAAACATCCGCAAAGTCTTTCAAAAAAAATTAATTTTAACTAAAATAAAGTATTTTACAGTACATATCTTGGTGATATTCTACTTAGCTCTTAGCTGTACTTCAGGAATGAGGAAGGTCATACAGCAGAGATGTAAAAAAACAGCCAGCAGACTGATGAAATGAACACCTACTTTAAAAAATACCTGCTATTTTTGTTGTTTTTTTTTTTTGGGGGGGGGGGCTAACTTCATTTCTATTGTTTTCCTTTTACTTGAAAACAAATCTATATCACTGCCTTGGATTGAAATTAGTGAATATTACTGTAAATCATTCCATATTACTGTAAATCATTCCATATTACTGTAAATCATTCCATATTACTGTAAATCAGTGAATTATGCAATAAATTGAATTTTACAGCAAGTAAAAAGAATTCGACTTACAAGATTCAGCAGTTCGTTAGGAAACTCCGCTTGCTGGAAATCTCCTCGTTCATGAGACACTAGCAATTCAAGGGTGTAATCAGCTTGTCCCTCTATCATCTGAAAAGAAGAAAATTAAATATTAAAGACTAATTTTAAATAATCCATTGTTTTTAAAAAGATCTTTTATTGTTATTTATATGGGCTGATAGTATCTATTATTGGTAAAAAAATTCTTACTTAACTCTTAAAAAAAAAAAGAATAGCATAACTTTTACAACATTGTCTGCTGATAATTTACATACTTTACATACTACTATTTTCGCTGTTTTGTATGGAATTTATTTTCACTGAATCATTCCTGCAGCAAAAATAGCGAAAATAAATTCCAAGCAAAAGTAAAGTGTTCTACAGTCTTAACCGTTATGTGGATAAAACAATGAAAAAGTACATGGGACTGTTGAAAAAAATGAGGGTTGAAAAAAACAAACAGACAATTTATCGTCCTAGTTCTGTATTTGATGCCAAAGTCCACCACTAGCAGCAATCCAGGAGTGTAGGTGTATTTATGGTTAAATAGTGCTAGGATGTGAAATGTCGTCGTTGATAATGTCCTGTAATTGGCTGAGAATATTTGGTTGATTCACTATAAATGTATCATGCAAACCAGTACTGAGTTTGAATGTAATCACGCAAGCCATCTAATAGAAATAGTTGTAATTGGATCACATTGGAAAACATATTTTAGTGCATATACATCTCTCAATATAATATGTTTAACAATTTATATATACTCAAATATACTAATACATGTATAACCTTTATAAAAAGTTCAAAGTTCCAAACCCATTTACAGACTGCAATCAATCAATTTGGCCAATCACAAAATCAATGTATTATCTATGATACAATACTTGTGTGCAAACTTTTAACTAAATCAGGCAGTTTATGGCCAGCAGTTAGCTATTTTTGTTTGTGCATCTGTACTCAATTTGCATGATCATAATACAAGGTTTGAATAAAATCAAACTGTTCATTTCCGAGAAAAAGTTCCAGACATGTTTAACCTTTTCACTACCAGACTTTCTTGCCCAAATTTTTTTTGCACTTTTTTCTCATATTCTTCAATATTTCTGGAAATAAAACCAAATTTTTGAGCCAACAGAAAAAATTTCAATTTCAAGTCAATTTTCAGTTTTTTCTCAAAAAATGTGGCTATTTTTGTCCCAATCTTCTGAAGGAAAATAAGAATATTTTTTGAATGTGTGATGAAAAGAGGGAACTGGTTGTGAAAAGAATTTATTAAGTATTAGAATTTAACAAATTTATTAAGTCAGGCATGTCTGATAAAGTGATAAAAAAAAATTGACATGCATATGTAAGTGTGTTTGTATACTTACTCGCTTTCTTGTTGCAAATAAGTACTCATCACGTACTTCAAAATCTTCTATACCTTGTAACAAGATAGATTCCGTTCTTTGTGAACTGAAGTAATCATCAGAGTAGAGGACTGTAGAGGTCTGGCCGGGTTCCTGTCTCTCGATATATAATCTTGTTGCTGGATCCGGTTCCACACCCCTGGACAATACCAAATTTGTTTAGTTTAACTTAGAAATAACTCGCACTAAGCTGTCGGTCATATTTGTTTGAATCATGAAAAAATAAAATTACGTGCACCTGTAACACAAATATTTATGATAACCACATCAACTTTGATTCAAATCATCCCAGTCATCTCAGAGAAACAGCTCCAGACATGTGTGAGTTTCAGAAATATCAATAAAAAAAATGTGTGAGACGTATGTTTTAAACTGACTCTAATGTGGACAAGCCATGCATGGCACAGTCCCCGTTAGTTATCAAATTTAAGATATATTGTTTTATTTATAGTAATATAGCTGGAATATAACCATGTCAGGAATATGATTTTTTAACATTAAAATGATTAACATTTGTATCTGATCGTCAAACAAGTACTTGTCCATATTGAGAGATATTGCTCTAGAACAGCATTCAAAATCAGCCATTTTGAATACACGAATATAGAAAATTTGAATATATAATCAGTCAAAGCATTTAAGAGATATGGCTCTAGAAGCCCAATCATTAAAACAAAATGGCCGCCAGTCAGCCATTTTGAATCCAATCTGAAAAATAAAATGATGTGCATCAGGAATCTGTAATGTCTAATGTATGTACCGTAAAATTCGTAATAGAAGCCGCACTTTTATTAGAAGCCGCACCCCGACTTTGCTACAATGTATCAAGTCAAAAATTACAACAATTGAAACTTGCAAAACCCTGTAATAGAAGCCGCCTTGGCTTTTTGAGACTTGTCAATTATTGTGTGCAGTGCTTCCCGTGTCCACATGTGTTCACCGTCCTGGGGCTGCCCCAGTTCCTGTGTATACAAGAAATGAGTGTATGTATTGTGTATGCAATGTCTGTTTTCTTTGGGTGATAGACGCCTGATTGAATAAGTGTGAAATGGACACGCGACAGACACATAGACGACGTAAATAAAGTTTTCAAATTGTTACCATGAGTACAAGTGCTAATTGTGAGAGCTTCATGATTGGTGGAAATGTCAATATAATCCCAGAAATGTTGGAGAAATTTTCATTCTGAGTATAGTTCCCGCACTGCTCAAGTTATTTTCTGTTCGCTTTCACGCAACATTCTCATCTCGCCTGTCTCTACGTTGATCGTATTCCGTATAGATATTTTATTTAATCATGCCCAAACAACGACGTGCTGCATATGACACTGCTTTCAAATTGAAAGTTGTGGCTATGTCTATGGAGACGAAAAACAACAGAAAAACGGCCGAACATTTCGGTATCAACGAAAAGCAAGTAC